CCTCTCTCTCTCTCTCTCTCTCTCTAATTTTTTTTTTTTAGTATAAGTACATGGTATTCTGTATTGATAATTCTTTTCTCTATTGAAGAACATTCTTGGCTCTGTTTTCTATGCAACAGTGATCCTTGGCTGCCTATTTTAATACATACAGAATTCTCCCCTAAATAGCAGCACTATGCTGTTCAGCAACACTGGGCAAAATCTCCATCTGCATATGAAATCACTTCATTTCTCTTAAGATTGATGTTGCCCTGCAAGTTGCCAGACTGGAACACTGTAGCAGTCATCTTGAAAATCTTAACATTTTTCCAGCATGCCTTACTGTTAAAATACCCTTTCAAATTTAAAGGACCATTTCAAATAAAGGAGTGATGTGATGTATATGACCATTTTTAGCCTGTCCTTAGTAATATTGGAGAATTTTTGAGTATGTGTGTTTTCACGGCATTGGCATGCATGTACTGAAAAAAAATGCTTAAACATACAGACAAAGCATGAATATATAAAATATACTGGCAATGCATGTATGAAATTTGTGATAAAGGTTATTGTCCTTCTTTATATCACTAGGAGTTTAAAAACAAGGTAAAGTAAGTATGGCATCATAAAGCATGTTCCATCCCTACAGCCAGTGTCTTGCAGAGCTACTTAAGCCCTTTTATTTTTCTAGGCAAAAAATCAGGCAAGGCAAGGAATAAAAGAAGTGAAGAGTAAGTTAAAACACAAGGTATGTAGTACACTTTTTAATTTCTTACCTTGCTTCTTGTATCAGTTTGAAGCTTATACTTTACAAATCACATGAGATTTGTGTTTTTAATGACTTTTGAAATATGCTTAGCCCTTTGTTCAACAATACATTTTTCATAACGAGCCCTCTGGCAACTATCTGTCATTCTATGCATCCACTGAATAATCTCTTTATTGTTTGCATATTTTATCATAGAACAACAGAGGTCTTCAAAGATACATTAACAGGATGTATGTTTTCATAAAGTTGATTGCTTTGATATCACAATCGAAGCCTTTGCTTCAAGCTGAGAATTTGAGATGGGAAAGTCTTGCAGTGCAATGTATTTCAGAAGGTGTAGTTGTCTGTTTTGGCTTCAATAAGATATGTGGACAATGGCAATGTTTAAAAACAAAGGAATAGTTTCATTTTGCAAAAGCAACATTGCAGAAGTATCCGAAAAGATGTTTTAGGCATTTTGCAGCTGCTTTTCCCATTGAAAATTTGGTTCCGCTTAAGATTTTTCTGTAGGGAGAAGGAAACATTTTTTAGATATATTTTATGCTATTTTAAGAAAACTTTCAAAAATATTTCCTAGGCGTTTGAACAATTTGTCTTTTAAATGACAATGTTGATAATTCAGCTTCCTGAAAAGCTAAATTTGATTTTCTTACTACAGATGGTATTTTCATGACAGCAATAGATTGTGGCAAGATAATTTTGAATGCATTCTGCATGCATAAATATAGAGGGTACATTTGCAGATAATGATTATAAATAAAGGAATTTAAATCTGTTTTGTTGTAGGAGAGTGAAGAAGAGTATGGAACTTGCAGCGCTGGTGCAGTACAGACTGCTCCTGTCTACACATTGCATTATGAGAAAAGAGCAAACTCAGAAAAACGAAGACTGGCACAGGTAAGACACCCGAAACTTCTGTTTTTATTCACATACGTATGAGGAAAAATTTTTTGCCACTTACAGTAATGCATCAGTGAATCTGTTTAAGATTATTTATACTGTCTGTGTTTGAATACTGTGATTAAAAGGCTATGTTTATAGAAATACTGCTATACTGCTTGAATGGAGCAAAATGTTATTCGTATTTCATCCCTGTTGAGAGGGGAAAAACAGGAGATTTTTAAGTATGGATCTGAGATAGAATTCTTAAATACTGTTTTTGTTAAATACATTCTGGTCTATTCACAGATCTGTGTTAAGCTATCTTTTTTAGTTTCTTATAGTGGGGCACGTTAATTTTGTATTTCTAATAAATTGATTTGGCAGTCATATGGCCTTTAACCTTGCTCAGATAGTTATGATTTATTATTTTATTAATAAGTCAGCTAGTTAATGTGGTGCCAATCTCTTGTCCTTTTGTTCTCTAATCCCTTCTAGTCTTGATTTGAAGTAACAGGTGTAGTGTCTCAACTGTGGCAAGTGTTTTAATGTCTTTGGATTCATTTTGACAGTTTTATTTCAAAGATATCAATAAAATAGTTTTTGTAACACTTTTTTTCTGGGAGTAAATACCTGCATATGTACATATTTTAATGTGTGGGTATGTATTTTTACATTATATTGTTCTTGCATGTTTTTAATACATGTAATGAATGTTTATAATATGGATTTTTAATGCATATATCTTCCTCAGATGAGAATTAAGTATAGAAATTCAGTCCAGCTGATCTAACAACATTTGGTTTTTTACTTTAGATATTACAATGATAAAAATCTGAATTGTTTGTTTAATAAATTTGATTTTGAATTAGTTTTTATCCATAATAAATATAGAGTTTGTGAAATTTAACTTAGAACTGATGCACGTTATTGCTAAATGATGTTGAAATTGTACATTTGTATTAAGTCATTATTTTTAGTAGGGTTATAAATAATACAAGGACTTTCTGCTTTAGGCAGGTTTTACTTTGTACATGTTTTTGTGATCTCTTAAAGCCAGTGATAAAGTTTTAAACTATGTGCCCTCAGTATATTTTTATATACAGGCAGCTGTAGTGCCTGCATTCTTTCAGGAACTTGTGTACAGTAGATTTTCTTCACTGAGTATCAGAAGAAAAGATATACAATTGTAAATGTATGAGTATAGGGCTCTAATGTTAATGACATGAATGGTTCTTAAAATATTTGTTTCTAATAGGTAACTGTCATTTTAATATATAGCAATTCCCCCCCCCCCGCCCCAAATAATTTCATAATGTGAGGTACTAAAAAGCTTTTAATGCATTATAAGCCAACATTCACAGATTAGTGTAGGTGAATCTACAATTGTACATATCTGTGTAAATACGTAACACAAATGTACCCTTGTAGTCGGTGGATTTTTATAGGCTGCTTTTATTAAAGAAATCTGCAGTAATTTACTGATATGGTAATGCTGCCTACTGTTAGGTACAGGAGTCTAGGGATACAAAGGAATACAATTTACCTTGGTACAATGAAACATTTCTTTTGAAGGCCTGTGTTTGAACAGAACAATTTAACTTCTGCAAGTTTTTGTGTTTTTACAGCTGCATACTGCTAAATCCTTTAATATCATTGTTGCTGTTTCTACCAGTCATCTTTTAGTTTTGAAAACAAGACAGAAGGAGTGCATGTCCGTCCATAGTTTTGTTTACATATATACATGTACACAGGTGTATTTATGTATGTTTATACACACATACATATACATGTACATATATAGGGCTTGTTTACTAGTGAGGCTTGTAACTAATAGCCCTGCAGTTTTGCCCTGCTGCAAACCAGAAGTCCTATGTCTTCTCCCCAGTTCTTGTCCCAAATGTCCCATGAACCCAGTGGGCAGGAAGGAGCAAATGGTGATCGCTCCCCAAGAACTCTGCTCTCGCACAGTTTCCTCCACCTCGCGCTCATGCTATTCCCACTTTTTCCTCCTTCCCAAAAGCAAACAAACCAAAATATTTCTAAAAAATTATAGTCTACTATTGCTACTCTTGTTTTTATTTTTGTTCTCAGTAACTGTTTGAATAAGATAACATAAATGCAAGTTCTGTATAAATAAGTGGTGATTTTAAACTTCACGTTTAAATAAAAATAGGTATTTGTATTCACAAGTGCATGTGTATGAGAGAGACTATGTTTGATCTAGTACTGAATCTGCCTTTTAAAAGAAGTTAATTTCAGAGTGCTATCGTTGTCAGGTTTAATCCTTTTTTCTGTAACTCTTTATCCTGCAAATGAACCTTTCCACCCAGATTTCTAAAATGCTGCCCATGAGTGTCTATATATATAGTATAAGGATAGTGCTAACGTGCAGTTCATGCACTTTGATGTTTATTTAAAGTAAGGACCAGATATTGATTAAGTTGCAATGTCACTGTGTTTAAATATCCCCCCAAAACCTAAACAAACAACAAACAAAAGAGAGAGATTGCTTTTAATGATCATCTTGCTTCCAAACAAGGGCCACCTCTGCACTTTGTTACTATCTCTTCCATACTGAAACATTTAAAACTTGTAAATATAAAGAATTTGGTGTTATATTTTATGTTATGTTAGATGCATGCATTGAGCTTTTCATTCTCAACTTCTTGGAAACAGTTAAACATAAATACTAACTAATAGTTACCTGAGATGCTGTAAAACGTATTTACTTTGAAACTTTATATATGATATGAAAGTTTGCTTCACTGTAAAAGATCATTTTAATAATTGGTTCATAACAGGATTTTTGGGTCTGGGAGGATGTTTCCTTTACAATAGGAAGTGAATCTGCTTTTACCCCAACAAATAGTAGTTTGTATGTGGGTCTGCTAATTAGTACGGTTATTTCCTGTTTTGTTGATGAGGCTTTAATAAATGTCAAGGGTACAGCCATGGAGATCTCCCAATTAGGCTTTGCGTTTGTAAAACCCAACCCCTTTGCTTTTGTGTGAAGATGACAGTTCCAACTGCAGCCTCAGCCTAACAGGGCTCAAGGGAAAGGATACTTCTCTGGTTTTATTGAAAAGAAGGCCAGTTTGGCCCAGGGAGAATACCAGCGCTGGTCACAGTGCAGAGCCGTTTTTAACAATGAATATTTACTAAGCTTTATCACTGCTGTCATAGTGGTTTTATTGTATCTTTTTTTTTTGCCAGATCGGCAATAGGCTTTAAAAAAATTAACAGTAAATCAAAACAAATTATAGCATGTAAAATAGCTGTCAAAACCTAATCAGAGGATAAATAATTAAATGTGTTATTGCAAACTGTAGTGATCAGCTTGCCCTCCTATAATTTGCATTTTGAAAGTCTTTCCTAAAAAAAGAAATAACGGGAGTGCACTCATACGTGCCCGTGTGCACGCACGTGCATGCACACACAATTAATCTTTGCCTAAGATGAATTGTTCTATCTCTGTGATATTCATTTGAGCTTACTCTTGCTTAGGTTAGCTGTTCTAGGCTTTTTATACGTGTGCGAGCTTAAATATATTGCAAGTCAACATTAACAGATGGATTGCCCTGAGCAAGGGAAAACCACAACAACAAAATCTAGTGAAAGTGGAGGATTGAAGCTTTTTATTGTTAAGCCTTATTAAAACCTTGGCATGTGCACTGCTGTTAACTGTTTCATGCCTAGATCTAATAATATGTCTCTGGTATGTTTTATCTCCTACATTAATTAGGTATATAGAAGATACAAGAAATTACCAGCTAAAATTTTTGAAATAAAAATTAATGCAAGCATGAGATTGCTTCAACTCTGTTTGCGGTATCTTGCCAACGATATTGCTGAATTCCTTTAACTATTGATGAGGAAGGTATGGCAGTGCATGTATTAGACTACTATGCATTCAGTTTTTGCATAGTCTATTTTAATTCTGTTTCATTATATGCTCCCACGTAATGCAGATTCTGTGTAGACAGGGGCCTATGCAGTGAGAGCTCTATAAAATTGTTACCAATTAATATATTATTAAAAAGAGCACGTGTTTATTATGAGCCTGGATAGAATGCCAGGAAGATCTGTTTGTTTTCATGAATATGATCTTTGTAATTTTACTTTTATATCGGGTGATAAGGTAGCTTATTAAAAATAGAGCATTTCAGGATGTCAATAGCCCTAATGTATTTAGGGGCTAATAAAACATTCTTGAAGATTTGCAGAATACTAAATAAGAACTACCAGTTCACTGTATAATGAGTAAGTTAGCAATGCCCCCTTGTCTCTAAGGAAGAGAGTACCTGTACCTTTAGGCATGCACTACCTTGCAGCCGTAATGGAAACTTGGGCATCTGGGTTCGAAGTGTGGATTTACCAGGCATCCCTGTGTGTCAGCACTACTTTAAATGTTCGTGTATCGAGGAAACCAAGTGAAGTACTTCCCATGACTTTGCAGGATCTAAATACAGTGTCTAAGAAGGTTTTAAAAACACTTTTGCATAAGGTAGTATAAAAGCCAAGGTAGACTAAACTTTTTTCTTGGTATTCATGAACAGAAGAGAATTACCATTTTTTATTCTTTTTTAAAAGCAAATGTAGCTTTTATGCTTTTATTGCAGTATATCCTAGTAACTAGACAATATGTAATTCAGCTTGCAGTAGGTACACTTGGCTTCTGTTCAACAAAGATAGCAAGTGTCAGGCAGGAAGATGTGTTCAGAATAACCTTACCTTCAGGAGTGCCCCATTTATCAATACCTCTATAATGGCCAGTAAAATAAATGACATAATCATTAGCAACAAAGGGCTTCCAGTAACTGATTACCCTCCTAACCTGAAAAAGGTGGTGAGAATGGGCTATTCTGAAGACTTTTTTTTTCCCGGGAACATAAAAGAGGAGAGGAAATGCTTGTGATAATGCAGTGCTGAATATACATATTCTGTATAAGGTGACTGAACCCCTTTAAGAAAAAAAGAAAAAAAAAGTCCTGCAGACAACCCCACAATAATTTCAG